GATTTGTTTCCCTGCTGAGCTCCACCGGTGTCCCAAAGCCTTCCACAAAACGGCTAAGACAAAGCAGCCGGCAGGTCTCCCCACTGCATTCGGACCGCACGGAGAATCCGCGAGTGGTCCTTGAGGTCCCGCGTGCCCCGCCCCGCCCGCTGGTCACACTGACCGCTCCATCGCCACGCACCAGCCCTGCTGGTTTTCGGTCTCGTCCTAAAACAGCACCAGCAGAGCGGCTCCCGCGGGGCCTTTGCGCCTGCGGCTGCCTCCGCCGGAACCGCCCCACAATGGATCTGACCTTCCCCGCTCTTACTCCTCCTTCCGGTCAAACAACGCGGGCTCCTCTGGAGGCCTCCCTGCCCCACGATTTGAAGCCAATCCACCTGATGCTGTCTACAGCACCCTGGTTCTTCCCTTAAATGACTTAGCACAATCTGGGTGAAGGCACCACAAAGGCAGGACTTCAAGCACTTCTTTTCCTCCTGTCTAGTGACGATTGTGTCTGGAAAGGACAATGATGCCGCTCAAAAACCATTTGTTGAGTGAACAATTGTTCTGAACTCCAGATATGTAGCCCAGGGCAGATCAGTTTGCTTGTCTGAGCTTTATTTTCCTCATCTGTAAAATGGGGCCATCATCCTTCCCTCAATGACTGAGAAAACTCTGCTTGTGTTCAGTAGATTTTTTTAAAGATTTATTTTATTTATTTGAAAGAGTTACAGAGAGAGGTAGAGCCAGAAAGAGAGAGAGAGAGAGAGAGAGAGAGAGCAGTCTTCCATTTCTCATTCACTCCCCAAATGGCTACAACGGCCAGAGCTGAGCTGATCTGAAGCCAGGAGCCAGGAGCTTCTTCCGGGTCTCCCTTGCAGGTACAGGGGCCCAAAGACTTGGGCCATCTTCCACGGCTTTCCCAGGCCATAGCAGAGACCTGAATGGGAAGTGGAGCAGCCGGGACTTGAACCGGCATCCATATGGATGCCAGTGCTGCAAGCCGGGGCTTTAACTGGTTGCACCACAGCACAAGTCCCTCAGTAAGATTTTTAAAAGAAAGCCAGAGACATTCTCAGACAAGGAAACTACCAACAGCGCATGGAAATTGGCAGTTGATTGTAAAAGAGAAAAAACTTGAAGCAAGCAGCAGAGCTACAGAGAACTGATGTCTAAACCCTCAGACCCTCGTACAACAGAGTCATACGATGGGGCTTTGCAAAGTGTAGCTCGCTCAGGTGGAAAAGGCACATTAAAAGGAGATGGAATCTCAGGGCGGCTATTTGGGACACCAGTAGGAACCTCTGCATTCCGCGTCAGAGTGTCTGGTTTCAAGTCCTAGCTCTGGCTCCTGCTCCCGGCTTGTCTGCAGACCCTGGGAGGTAGCAACTGATGGCTCAGGAATTTGAGTCCTGCCATTCACGTGGGAGACCCGGATCCCGTTCCCCATTCCCTGGGTCAGCCCTGGTCCAGCACCTGCTGTTGCAGGCATTTCAGCGGTGAACCAGTGCCGATGCCTGCCGGGAAGCTTCTCCAGACAGCCTGGCTACAGCAGGGGCCACAGGAGCCAGGCCCAAGCACCGGGCCATACGCCATTATGTGCCAGCCACAGCTCACTTCCCCTTGCGAGGCACTGCCTGGCACTTCCCAAGAGGAAGAGATTTATCAGCCCCTGGCTGGCTGCCCTGCCTTCATGCAGTCCCGGCTCCCAGCAGGTCAACCAGAGAGGTTTCTCATCCTCTGGTGCATGGCTGTGCCTGGGGAAGCCCAAGAAAGCCAAAGAGGAGGCCGTGGGCTCAGAAGACACGTGGGAAACACTTGGTCAGTCCTGCCAAGCAGATCCAGGCTCCCGGTTACAGCAAGAGGGGAACAGGTGCAAAGCAGGAGGTTCTGACCCCAGACTCTCGTCCTCCACTCAGCAAAGCATAAGCCCCGCTCGTCCTTGTCCCTGTACCCAAAGGTCGATTCCACTTTGATCTACCTTCTCCCCTCACTGCTGTTCACACCGGGAAGGCGCCTTCGCAAAGCTGTCCCAGGGCGATTCTCTGCCTTTGAAGTCCCCAGAAAACCCTGCCAAGAACTGTTCCGGTGTCAGGAGGCTGCTGGAGCAGGCAGCCGGGTGCTGTTGCCTCACCGGGCGCCAGCACTGGAACTTCAAGACATCAAAGGGGAAAGTGGCGGAGAGAGAGGGAGGAGAGAGAGAGAGAGAGAGTGAGTCAGGCCAGCTCTAGGTTCTGCCTCTGCCCTGGCCATCTCCAGCTGCTGCAGGGAGCTTTGTTCAGAAAACCTGGAGGCCTGCTGGGAGGAAGCCCGTGGAAGCTTCTAGAAGCAGAGATTGCCCTGCATCTCCGCACCTTTGGAAAGAGCTCTGAAAAGCACAGAGCAAATGGCAGAGCCCCTTGCTGGGCTCCCAGACGCCCCTGGCTGTGCGGCCTGCACAGCTCCCCTCCATTCTCGGGTCTCTGGTCTCTTCGTCCTGCAGGTGGCAAGGTGGGAGCAGCCCCAGGGCTGCTCGGGCCCACGTGTGTGACGTAGATCAGTCATCAGTTATTTCCCACTATTTAAACTTAGGAGAGTGAGCACAAAGTTCTCCGCTTTGGGATTCTTTGGGGGGGAGAAAAGCGGCTCTGCTGGGCCTGACCCGAAAGACAGCGCATGTCGGCAGGTGCTGGGTGAAACCGAAGCCCCAGGTCTTTCCGCTCCCAACTCTCTGTGCTGTTGCATTGTGACTGTTGAGTCTGGGGCCCGCACACTGGAGTACTTCGTTGTTGGAGACTCCCCTCGGGAGACCACAGGGAAGCAGGCGGATGTGACGTCAACGCTGCTCTCACGGTTCAGCCGGGAGCAGCGGATCTTGCGAAGCGTCTCTCACAGGCCCTCAGAGTCCCATGGAGGATGCAGGACACAGCGCAGCCGTGCCTGGACCCCAGCCCAAACCTGCTGAATCAGATTCTCTGGGGGTGGAACCTGGAAATCTGCATTTTTGTGAAGTCCCCCGGTGTTGGGGGGAAGGCATGAGGAAGCTTCTGAAATGCTGGTGGAGTGCACATTCCTTTGCCTTCATGAGCCCAGAGCATTGTCCGGGGCCTTGAGGGATGGAATCAGAGCTGAGCAGGGCACCCGCATCTTGCAGGCTTTGCACTAAGCTCTTTGCATGCATCACACCACTCCATCCACTATGACCCATGAGTGCGTGGGCACAGTGGTCCCTCACCATTCAAGGGGGGTGGGCTCCACCTCTCTCCCACCATCTGTGATACCCAAATCCAGGGTGCTCAGATTCCTTTGCAAAATGCTGGAGTAATTGCTTAGAATCTGTGCATATGCTTCTAAGTACTTTAAGTCATCTCTACATAACTTGACTATCTACTACACTGTAAAGGCAATACATATAATAATATAATATAAATAATAAAATATAAATAATAATATAATGTAATGCAATGTAATAAAGTGATAATGTAATGTAAATGCATTTTTAAAGATTTTATTTATTTATTTATTTATTTGATAGGTAGAATTACAGAGAGAGAGAGAAAGAGAGGTCTTCCCTCTGCTGTTTCACTCTTCAAATGGTCACACTGGCCAGGGCTGTGCCGATCTGAAGCTGGGAGCCAGGAGCTTCCTCCAGGTCTCCCATGTGGGCACAGGGGCCCAATCACTTGGGCCATCTTCCACTGCTTTCCCAGGCCATAGCAGAGAGCTGGATGGGAAGTGGAGCAGCTGGACTTGAACTGGTGCCCTTATGGGATGCCAGCGCCACAGACTGAGGTTTAATCTACAGCGCCAGCCCCTGTAAATGCATTTTAATGTAATATAATGTACTGTATTGTTTAGGAAATAATGCCAAGAAAAAACATCTTTACACATTCAGTACAAACTACTTTTTTTTTCAAATATTTTCAATCCAGAGTCATTGACCCCATGGATGAGGAAGCCGCGGATATGGAGAGAACAGTACCATCATTAGCACAGCACAGAGAGGTTAAGTAATGTGTGTTAGATCACACGCTGGCAACAGCAGAGCTGGCACACGAAGCGGGGACTGACTCCAACAGTATTGCGTAAGGACATGTTGTGCATATCCTTTCGAGACAGAAATTCTGATGGAGGGCAGATCAGGGGAGGGGAGCCACGCTGACACGGACTTAACCTGTAGCAGGTAGACGTGCGCAATGGGACGTCAGGACAGAGCGCAGAACCGGAACTGCCTCCGTGAAGCCCGTGCCCCGTAGCAGGCCAGGACTCAGGGCGCTGGGCTTGGCTTTGCTGTCTGGGTCTCATGATTGGGAGTTTTTGGAAAACTAATTTGTAATGTGATTTTAGTAGTTGACTCGGAGTGGCTTCTGTCCAGCTTCACAGAGGTTGGGCCACTTCTCCAGAGAATCTGCAATCGGCGTGAGACCCACCCTGGCTTTTGCCATCCAACCCAGCGGTTCTGTAGCTGCTGCTGTGGCTGTGTTTATTTGAGTTGTGTGTGTGCGTGTGTGTGTGTGTGTGTGTGTGTGTGAGATGAACCTCCTTGCCAATGACCCTTTCTCTGTCTTTTTTCTAGGTCTGCATCAGGCAGACTGCAAAAGTTCTTGTCCCTTAGAGAATCAACTTGGTCCTAGTGAAGGAAACAAACAATAAAACAAAGCTAAGGGGAGTTGGCGCTGCAGTGTAGCGGGTAAAGCCACAGCCTGCAGTGCCAGCATCCCACATGGATGCCGGTTCAAGTCCCGGCTGCTCCATTTCTAATCCAGCTCTCTGCTAATATCCCTGGGAAAACAGCAGAAGATGGCTTGAGTCCTTGGGCACCCACGTGGGAGACCTGGAGGAAGCTCTTGGCTGCTGGCTTCGGATCAGCTCAGCTCGGGCCATTTGGGGACTGACCCAGTGGATGAAAGACTCTCTCTGTCTCTGTCTCTCTCTGTAACTCTGCCTGTAAAATAAATACATAAATAAATACTCAAAAAAAAAAAAAGCTAAGATCTCAAAAGCTCACTCAGAACCCGTTCTATTGGACAGATCATTACCTGGGAGAAGGCAGGTGGTGAGCAGAGAACAAGTTTGAAAACTCTTCTTGATAGCAAAAACCAACGTGAGTTCTCACATGCCCACATATTCAACTTTGGTGCTGCCAAGGCTGTGTGTGTACCTTTGGACGAGTTGCTTTACCTCTCTGAGGCTCAGTTTCACTCTCTGGAATTAAAGAGTGTGAACATTCTGTGACTCCATTGTCTGACATATGCTAAGTGGAAGGGAGAGAGGGAAGGTGGAAGACAGGGAGAGAGAGAGATGGAGAAGGAATGAGTCGGTGTGGCAGCTATTTTTGTAGAAGAGAGTGGGCGTATTTTCCACTGCTTCCCTTTCTACCTCCAAAGACACTGCTTCCTTCTCCATCTATGTGATCAGAATCAAATCGCTGCTAATTTAACAAGCCCTGCCTCACTGTCCCACTGAAATGACACTTGCTAACCTGCGCTGTCACAGAGGGGAGTCAAGGAAAGGACTTAAAAGGGCTTTGCAAAGGACACGGAGCCTGGTGATTGCAGGCAGCGAGACCTGTTGGCTTGGTAGCCGAGTGTCCAGCTAGGAGAGGAGTGGGTGGACACCCACAGGCTCTCAGCCCTGAGAACGAAACCTTGAGCCACAGCATCTGACGGTGGCACCTGGGAAGTGTCAGAGCACCCATCTTTGTCCCTGGGGAAGCTGGTGTTGTCAGTCCTGACTTCTTTGGTGAGACTTTTTCCTCCGCTACAGAGAGTGAAGTTCCCGTGTCTTTCCCCTTGGCACTGTACGGTGAGGCACGAGTCACTGTTACACAACGGCTTTGCAAGCCCACAAGACAGCAGGAGACACTAATCTTGGGGAGATGCATATTGGTCATTTCGCAGAAAGCTTTGAAAAGCAACCTGCCGAGGCATACTGGTTTGCTTGTGAAATTTAAGGCAGACCCTAGGAAGTTTCTTCATACGGTGATATCATTTGAGGGCCTACCAACCTCTTCAAATAAAGCCAAAATTATCTTGAACATTCCCATCTCGCAGCTGGTACAAATCTGGTTCCAGCCGAGATTGCTACCAACTCCCATGTTATGGGTTAAAACGTATCTCCCACCCCCAGTTCATAAATTGAAGTCCAAGCCTCCAACACCTGAGGATGTGATCTCCTTTGGGAATAGGATTCACGCAGATGTAATAGCTAAGCTGCAGCCACACAGAGGAGCAGCCCCTGTCTAAGCCAATATGACCGGTGTCCTTAACGGAAGGGGAAATTCAAAGGCGGACACCCACACAGGAAGAGCACTGTGGAAAATGAAGGCAGAGATGCAGGCGATGCTTCCAAAGCCACGGGCCAATAAAGCCCCAGGAGCCGGGCTGAGGCCTGGCCCAGATTCCAGCTCCCACACTACAGCAGGAGCCCACCCTGCCGACACCTTGACCTCAGATTTGCAGCCTCCAGAGCTGCGGAACCAGAAAGTTTGCAACTGCAGCCGCTCAGCTCTTGGTAGACTGCTACGGTAGCTAATGCCGCCAGCCCGACTGAGAAGATGGGCATGGGAGTTTGGTTCTCCAGGACACTGCCTCGGACTCTGCCTCTTCCTGCCTCTGCTCCACCCAGATGGGCCTCTTCCAGGGTTGACATCCCACAAAGCACTCCCAGGAAGCTTCTGTGAATTTGTTCACGGTTTAGGAGAAGGGTACAATCGGGGCAACTCCTGCAGTCTGCACTCTCCCAGCCTTCCCCACCCACTGTCCCGCTCCACCTTGCCCAGGCCTGGAGCTCCTGGAAACTCAAGTTCTCTTTGAGCTCCCTCCTTTTTCACAGAGCGGCTCCTCGTATCCTGGGATGATTTGGCATCTGCTGCTACCAGGCCCTTCAGAAAGTCCCATTCCTCCTAGTTCCTTTCCAATTCATTTCTCCAAAGCTATTCTCTTTCAAACTGGCACGAACTGTTCAGAAAATTAACTGGCTTTCAACCTCATTCAAACAAATAAGCTACCGACAGTATTTCCCACTACCATGTAACAAGTTGGCACAAATTAAAAAACTGAGAGTGACACACGCGTGTTTCCTGTGGTTGCTGTCCACCAGGAATCCAGGCAGCACTTACCACGTTGGGAATCACCAGGCTGCGATCAAGGTGCGAGCAGGGCTACATTCTCATCTGGAGGCTGGGTGGGGAAGAATCTGCTCCCAAACACGCGTGGGCTGTTGGCAGAATTCGTTCCCTCTGGGGGCTGGAGGTGGAAATCCCTAGCTTCTACGGCCAGAGGCAGCCTCTCCTCACCATGGAGACCTTCCAGCTTGGAAGCGCCCCTCAAGGCAGCACAGAGAGATTCTAGAGTGGGTTGGCAAGCAAGGTGGAAACTTGTACGACGTACCAGCATGGCAGGAGGAATGGTCACTCACCTCTGACGCAGTCCGTGGCTCAGAAACAAGCAAAGGTCCTGTCCACACTCCAGGGGAGGGAATTACACAATGGTTAGAGGAGGTGGGCATTGCGGGAAGCTACCTTAGAGTCTGTCTCTACTCACCTGTGGCCAGGCAGCAAACACCAGCCAGCCAGCCAGCAGCCAGCCAAGGCCCCATAGCTCCAAGGTTGAGCCTGCTTGGTCCCAAACTAAGCGTGTTCTTTGCCATGACTGGCTTGGGAGGGGGTGTGTGGCTCCTACAGCTCTGGCTCCTGTGACGTGAGAAGTGTCTGCAGAGCTTCCTCTCTCCCGACCTGCAAGTTTGGGAAGTGATGGTGATGTCCCGCTTGCTTCCTCAGATGTTTCAGCATTTGAGTGGAATCCTGCTTCTGCGGCAGCCGTCTTGCTAGAAGCTTGGGGTGAAGCCAGCGCTAAGGGTGTTTGACCTGAAAGATGGATGGAACTGGATCTCGGATGCCGCGGGTTGGCTGCTGAACCCACTGTTTGGCCCGCTCCAGTTAGGTTGGCTGTTACTTGCTCCCAGATGCATCGCAGTACAACATGACTGTCCCAGGACAGAACAACCTGGGACTCAGAATCCGTGAAGAGAAATCCTGTTTCATCAAGGACGTATAGATTAATCCCGTGGAGTCCTCACCGCCTATGTCACGGGTAGGAACAGGAAAATAACGTCAATGACCTACAATGTGCAGTCCGTAGCTGCTACAAGCCATCAGACTCGGCCTCCTGTTTCCAGGGAGAGAGCGCCCTCGGGTCTGGACGCGCCTGATCATTCTCCACTAGCCCATGGGAAGCACAGTCATTTTAACTGCACGGAAGTTAACTGCACAACTGTCATTGACCCAGAAGCATTCGTCTTTTCCAGCTCTTCAAGAAAGGGAGAGAAACCAATGCTTCCTGGGTGCTTTCAAAGTGCCTACTATGTGCTGGGAGCTTTATGCTTCCAATCCAGCATCCCGACACTAAGGGACGGTGGTCTGGCCCCTTTGCCAATGGGAGAACTGAGGCACAGAGGGCGCACCACACACATCGGTGAAAGCTGCCACTCAGCGTGCATTCTTTGTCTCTTTTAGAAGGCGTTGCTCTGTTTCAGAAATGGTCAGCCCAAAATTGGTTCACGCTGTCTGTCAACACTACCAGGACCGGAGGCGTGCACAAAGTTACACCTTTCCCCTGGCAAAGAGACTTTGTCTTCCCCCTGAGGATAAGTAAAGCTGATTAAAACACATAGATCACCTCCACGCATCTGTCAACCGAAAAACACAACCAGAGAGAGATTTTTCCCAAGAACGATGTTTTTGTGGGATTAGCACAGCATTGCGACAGGGGAACACAAGCCACAGTGAGCTAGGGGCGTGTTCAAAGAGGTTGAGACCAGGGAAGTTTGTGAAGGCAAGAATGAGAAGGATTACATCAGATATTTTGAAACAGTCATCTGGGACCACGATGGTTAACAACCAAAGTGACGTTAGTCCAAGGTTGGGCGGACAGGTGCCGGGCAAATAACTTTGCAGAAGTGGGCTGGATTGGCCTCTGCACAAGGGTACAGTTCTGGCAGGTGCTTTGCTGACAGTCGCTACCAAACACGCCCAAGGACGCTGCCCTATGACCTTGTGGCTTTGCTTCTCTCTTGCTTGCTTTTTGCTGGGGTTGACACAAGCGACAGCGTGTGGTCTTTAGCCCCATTCCACAGAGGAGATTAGGCAACTGAGGTTCAGCCATGTTCTGTCAACCACTCCATCCCTGGAGGCAGATCCATCGGGACACACTGCCACTTGGGCGTCTTGCTCCAGTGGCCGCTCCACACACCCCCCCCCCACCTGCTGCTCCCTTTCCTCCTTCTGCGAGGGTGCTTGCCTGGCATCACCCAGGGGTGCAAGGGGGAAGCTGCTAATTGCCTGTTGGTTCAGCAAAAATGGTATCACTCTGGAGGAACGTGAGGACTTTCCGAGGGCAGAAAATGCAAGCTATGCAGCCCAGCCTGTTTGCTACCACATAGTAAGCTGACAGTCGACTGTGTTGCCCAAGCATCGTAGAACTGTTCAGTTCAAGAGCAGAAAGCATTTACTTTGCTTCTCCCTAAGATCATGAACTCATGTGTATTAATTGTGAGGATATTGATGTTGATATTGATGTTGATATCATTCTTACTTACAAATTGAGGGTCTGGTATGCACAAGACTATGCTCTTCCGGGGTGAATTTCAGATCAGTTGTCTATGCATTTTGTGATTTTTTTTTTTCAGGCTACATTTGTTGATGTTTACTCAATTTTTTTTAATATTTTATTTAATTGACAGGTAGAGTTACAGACAGTGAGAGGAAAAGAGACAGAGAGAAAGGTCTTCCTTCTGTTGCTTCACTCCCCAAATGGCCGCAATGGCCAGAGCTGCGCTGATCCGAAGCCAGGAGCCAGGTGCTTTTTCCCAGTTTCCCACGCGGGTGCAGGGGCCCAAAGACTTGGGCCATCTTCTACTGCTTTCCCAGGCCATAGCAGAGAGCTGGATTGGAAGAGGGGAAGCCGGCACTAGAACCAGCGCCCATATGGGATGCTGGAGCCGCAGGCGGAGGATTAACCTAGTGCGCCATGGTGCCAGCTCCTTCTCATTTATTTTTATCTGGGGTAGGTATTTTTCATGTATTTATTTTGTAACTAGATATTTAATTACTTAGTTTATAATTAGATATTTGTTTACTTACTCATCTTGTAATCCATACATGCATAGAACAAGACGTTCAGTTTTTCTTTTAGAGATTTATTTATTTATTTATTTGAAAGGCAAAATTAAAGAGAGAGAGAGAGGCCTCCATTTGCTGGTTCACTCCCCAAATGGCTGCAATGGCCAGAGCTGGGCCTATCCGAAGTCAGGAGCCTGGAACTCCATCCGGGTCTCCCATATAAGTAGCAGGGGCCCAAGGACTTGGGCCTCCTCCGCTGCTTTCCCAGGAGCATTGGCTGTTTTGATCCTGACAGCAGAAGTGGAGCAGCCGGGACTGGAACCAGCTCCCATGCGGAAAGCTGCAGCCCCCAGGGAAGGGGGAGAGGGGTGGGGGCAGAATGAACCTGCAGTCCCCACACAGTGTTAAAGTACAATGATGGGTGTGTTTTCCCCTCCCCTCTGGGGCCCAGGCCTTCAGGTCCCTCCCCAAAGGCCGCTGTCACAGACAGTTCAAAAGCAAATCTCCATCTGTCTGCCACACTTTCTCATGGAGGACACTGTCCATACTGGTTCACCCCAGATTGAGCTATTTTTCTTTGCATGACAACAACGTGATTTGTTTATCCAGGAGCTGGAGAGTAGGCACTTAGGTGGTTGCTGCATTTTTCTCCATGTTTTTTGCAGCTGGAGCTTGGGGTACAGTGACCTGCAGGGCCAAAGGACAGGTGCGTTTTGACTATAACAACTGCAACCCATTCGCCTCCCAGGAAGCTGTACTCGGCTCTGCGTTCAACTTCCCCAGCCAGTGGTGAGCCTGCCTGGTCCCCCGCAAACTCAGCAGCTCGGGCTATTATCAGGCTTCAATCTCTTCAATCCAGAGGGGACAAAGGGCATCTCAGGTAGTTTCGATTGCATTTTTCCCATTAGGAGCTGGAGCAGCAACGAGCTCTTTAAAAGTCTGATTTCGCTCCGGGTTTTAATCTTAAAATACCCTAAATCCTCTTAGAAGGAGGTAGGGTCAGATCTTAAATCTGGCTGGATTTACGTAATGGGTTTATGAAAGGGGTGGAAAGTTAGTCAAAGAGGGGAGTCACAGTAAGTGAGAGGCCTCTCCCTAGGGGGAGTGGGGGGGCCCAGCTCCTCCGTGGTTCCGCACCCTTTGCAGGGCGGGTCCAGGGCTGCTGCCGCCCTCTGCCTTCAGCATCCACCCTGAAGCCCCGAGCCACACCCCACTCAGAGCCTGAAGCCTGGAGATCAGACTGGTTGATGGGTGGCGGCGCCGGGTCTTGAGTTAGCGCCCCATCTTGCACGGATCCCCCAGAAGACACCTCCAGGGTCACCCTTCCCAGCCGCTCTGATGGGCTCTCACTACCGATCCTGGCACTCTCTCCTTGGCTGTTCCACTTGCCCCTTGGTCACCTGCGAGGGAGGCGGGGATTGTTGCCACACCCTTTTCAGATGAAGCAACCGAAGCCCAGAGAGCTTTGGCAACCTGCCTGACATCACCCAGCCAGTGAAAGGAAGGAGCTGAATTTAACTGCAGGCCTGATTCCCCAGGCACAGCTTCCTCACTGCCTCCTGTGGGCGAGTGCTGAACCCAGTGGGTCTGCATCCTAGGGTGCAGGTGACACGGGAAGGTTCCTGGGCCACCTGGGGAAGTTGGGCCAACCAGCCAGACCCTCAGAGAACAAAGGTAAAGCCTCTGCCTTCTAGGTCTTTGCATACCCAAAGCATTCCTGACCTCTGCCAGCACACTGAGAAGAAGGGAATTGGTGCCTTATTTTAATCAGGAATAGAGCTGGGATTGGACTCCACGCTGGTCTGACTCCACAGACAGTGCTCCTTCTCTACCCCCCCCCCAGAATCCTGAGGGGTTCTCCTAATTACCAAGAGTCAGTGCGACCCCTGGCCTCCCCCCACCACACACACACCCTCCCAGAGAGGGGACTCCTGAGAGGCGGGCAGAGTGATCTGGGCAGAGAAAGTGAGTCTGAAGACCTCACACTCCATCTGGAGTTTATCAGCTTCTTTCCTGGGTAGGATTACAGTAAACGATTATCTACAGATCTGGAGCCAGCAAGGACTTTGAAGGCCCCCATTGCCAAGGGGCGGCCAGGTGGGGGAGGGGCTGGGCCCGCAGGAGATGAAAAAGCAGTCCAGGCATCTTATCTTTTCCCTGAGATCAGACAGGCTGGGCCTGGGAGGAGGAGGAGGGTGGCCCTGGCTGGTCGGCGACGCCAGAGAGGGGCCCTGAGGAAGACCCTCCACTGTCTCCTGTCCTCCCCCGCCCCTTCCTTTCTATTATGTGTGCATCCATTCAGCCATTCATTCACTTCTGCCTTGCAATCGATAGGCTCTGAGAGCTGAC